AAGCCAAACAAATAGCCTAGAAATAAAAGTAAATACTGCATTGCATTAATCTGCATTTCAAGAAAATTTGGCAATAATTCACAGAATGATATTCACCTCGAACAAGTTATTTCCTATGTAATGTATGTGTTGAATGACCCTGACTTTGCTGTCAAAATATTGTTTTGACATTTGTTAAATATGGGGATAAATGTCATCTCTGAATGTTTGATATGAATTACATGTATTATGATTAGGGTAGTTCTAAGTCGGAATCACAACCGGGGTCTTTTCATTTGAATCAAATGTACAACATGTACAGTTTGGACATTTTTCTGTGATGTGAATGCTACTTATGTTTGTAGAATGTCCGGATGAATAAAAGAGACAGTCATCTGTGCAGCATCAATGCAAAGAAAGACCATAGAAGAGCAACAGTGAGTAGTAAATATTTTGAAATTATTCTGTTTGGTTGATATGGTTATTTTGCAAATATGTCTTCAGTTTGTTCCTTATCGCTGTGGGCACGGATGTCCTATTATCTAAGGCACTACAATTTTCTGTGCAGAGTTGCATCTCTTGGGCTTAGCAGAAACCTATAGTCATGGGTTCAAATCCTGGTTCTCCCCGATTATGTTGCTAGGTTTGTCAGCATTATACACATGCTCGTGGGATTCATCAAAGACCTGCATCACTTAGGGCTTTCTTCCCACATCAAGCTAACATGCGGTGATATATCTGGAATACTGTTCAAAGCAGTGTTAAAGCCAACTCATTTATTTAACACTGCATCCAGCAATAGTTTGGCTATATGACAAGGATTGTAAATATATATTTTTCCATGTTGATGAGTTGAAACAATCACTAAATGACATCTCTTTAAAAGATTCCCAGCATTCCAAGCCTAATTAATAGATAAGGTAGTGATTGAGTAGGCTCATTGATCGCATGTAATCATACCACAGTGATGTGGGATATTGTCCATAATAGTTATCATCTGTTTGTCTGGACCGAGTTCATAACATTAGTCACTGGTTTGTCTGGTTGAGATTTGAGATGTGATTATCTTAAATGTTTAGCATATAACAAGACTCACATATGACAACTTAAGTTATTTTGCTGCCTTCTATCTGTAAGTACATGTGGCAACAATTCTTTTTGATTGCTAAAATCTTTTTACATAATGCTGCAGAAACTGAAGTCCTGCTTGAGATCCCTGGATGAGTATTCCAGGTTGACAGTCTGGAAGGACGAGACAAGGGAGTCCTAAACAGAGGCTGCACCCCTTCAGATATCAGAGGTGATTTGCAGACAGCGATGACGAGGGTCCTGTTATTTCAATGGAGGCCGACCGAGAAGTTGTATGCCAAATGGTACTGGGACACACAAAGGCTGGTCTGGCTAATGTGAGAAGACCAACCAATGCCAAGCTGGAGTGGAATTCTTCCAGGACATTCAGGAAATTCTTGTCTTATGGTAAACACTTGAAAGGAATGATAAATGGGACTTATTGTCTTTAAATATGGACCCAAACACCAAATGGAAAGTTCACAATTCTACTAACACAATGCAGCAGAGATAGAGTCTAACTGGTATCCCCTCATCCTGGTTCCTGTTCATCCATGGCAATATAGAAAGAAAAGGAGGATTGAGGGAAAGTAAGTTCTCTGAACTGGTGAACATAATCCGTAGGTACTGTCAAGCGAACAGTTATCACACTCTGTTATGAGTATTGAAGAATAGGATGAAATTGCATACTGCATCAGGAACCATCATGTGAACACTGTTCAATGTGCGATATACTATAGGCATATGAATAAAAGAAACTGATAATTTGATTGTTGCTTATGTTTCATTTGCCAGCTGTGTAAATGGGGATGTTTCATGATTTTGCCTCAGTTTAATAGCCACACTTATCTTATGAAACCATGCATTGCTTGGGCATCTCAAGATAAATAACACATGTTTCCTTTGCTCTGAAAACGTCTGATGACACATTGATCTGTTATGTCAAAGGTCAAAGTCATAACCAGACAAAAAGTTTGTTTGTGGTCTAACTCTTCCTTTGGACAGGGGTCGAAGTTGGAAAAAGGTCGTGTGTGATCTATATATACTACATTTTCCCCTAAATTGCCTTTTCTGCAGAAGTCTTAGTAACTCTTATACATATACTGGTTACATTACTTCCATATTTTGGTCAATGATATGTTGAATTCTACCAAAGGACTGCATATTTGGTTTATGTGCTGGATAGCTCTTTGAAATGTTTTTGAAATATTTATCACTGATATTGAAGGTCAAATTCACAGTCAAAAGTGATAACTCTTGAAGGGTTGAAGTGTAAGATCAAGGCAATAGTGAAGGGGTCATTCATAAAGTATTTCTGCAATTATAACTAAAATGCCTATTTCTGGAGATATTTGTGAAGTATTAAGCACATAGTTGTTATATTATTTGAATACACATATATGTGCAGTGGTTACAACTCCAGTGTCAAATTAACTCTCAATCCCTTTTAATAAAAGAATTCACAGTAACTGAGGAAGAGCTTACTGTAGTACCATAAAACTAGGGTTAGGCAAATTTCAATGAAGTTAGTATTTTGGATATAACAAGTACATGTACCGTTACAAATGGTCTTATTATCATCTCACTAGGACTAAAGGCCCAAGTGAGCACATTGTCAATGACTTTTTCTTTTTCTCAGTACAAACTGGAAGTCTGGACATGAAATATAAGGATATCACTATACGAGAACTGATGTTTGTTCATTAAATACCATTAACATCTGAAAAGGACAATATATGAAATTGAACAATTGTCTTCTCCAAAAATGTTTTAGGAGAATATTTACCATTAAAGTAACCCAGAATATTACAACAGCTACCTGTAATGCACAGGCTAACATTTTTTACCAGAAGCAAGTCATGAAGAAAATTTGCATCCGGAAACCTTCCGGAAACCTTCCAGATGCCTTCAGCAACCTTCAAATTGCTTGGTATTTTCAAGTTAATTTTTTATGTGTTTCACACTTAAGTGAACAAAATGCACCCCCCAAATTTTGACATTTTTTTTTGGAAGGTTTCCGGAAGGTATCCGGGCCAGATCCAAAATGGGTAGGTATCCGGAAGGTTTCCAGAAGACGGAAACCTACACTTTTTTTGCTGTGCATGGTTAGAACACAGTGCCAGGACAAGGTTAGAACACAGTGCCATGCCATGGTTAGAACACAGTGCCATGCCAAGGTTAGAACACAGTATCAGGACAAGGTTAGAACACAGTGCCATGCCATGGTTAGAACACAGTGTCAGGACAAGGTTAGAACACAGTGCCATGCCATGGTTAGAACACAGTGCCATGCCAAGGTTAGAACACAGTATCAGGACAAGGTTAGAACACAGTGCGATGACAAGGTTAGAACACAGTGCCATGACAAAGTTAGAACACAGTGCCTTGACAAGGTTAGAACACCGTGCAATGACAAGGTTAGAACACATTGCCATGACAAGGTTAGAACACAGTATCAAGACAAGGTTAGAACACAGAATCAGGACAAGGTTAGAATACAGTGCCATGACAAGGTTAGAACACAGTGCCATGACAAGTTTAGAACACAGTGTCAGGACAAGGTTAGAACACGTTGCCATGCCATGGTTTGAACACAGTGCCATGCCAAGGTTAGAACACAGTATCAGGACAAGGTTAGAACACAGTGCCACGACAAGGTTAGAACACAGAGCCATGCCAAGGTTAGAACACAGAGCCACGACAAGGTTAGAACACAGTGCCATGACAAGCTTAAAAACACAGTGTCAGGACAAGGTTAGAACACAGTGCCATGCCATGGTTATAACACAGTGCCATGCCAAGGTTAGAACACAGTGCCATGCCAAGGTTACAACATAGAGCCATGACAAGGTTAGAACACAGTGCCATGCCAAGGTTACAACACAGTATCAGGACAAGGTTAGAACACAGTATCAGGACAAAGTTAGAACACAGTGTCATGACAAGGTTAGAGCACAGTGCCATGACAAGGTTAGAACACAGTGCCATGACAAGGTTAGAACACAGTATCAGGACAAGGTTAGAACACAGTGCCATGACAAGGTTAGAACATGGTTGTTACACAGAATCAGGACAAGGTTAGAACACAGTGTCAGGACAAGGTTAGAACACAGTGCAATGACAAAGTTAGAACACAGTGCCATAAAAAGGTTAGAACATGTTTGTAACAGTATCAGGACAAGGTTAAAACACAGTATGAGTGGGTTGAAAAGCAGTTGTAAAACAGTACCACGACAAAGTTATAACACAGTCGTGAAACAGTGTTGTGTCATGGTTAGAACACACCAGTAAAACAGTACCATGACAAGGTCATAACACAGTCGTGAAACAGTGTTGTGTCGTGGTTAGAACACACCAGTAAAACAGTACAATGACAAGGTTATAACACAGTCGTGAAACAGTGTTGTGTCGTGGTTAGAACACCAGTAAAACAATACCATGACAAGGTTAGGACACGGTTGTGCAACGGTAGCCGCTACGGATTTCGGAAAACAAGATGGTGGTCCCATCGAAAACACCACCGGTTTTTGTTTCGATTTGTAGTCCTTTTTCAAAGTTCGATGGAATAAAGTTATGAATAAGAGAGATATTGGTATAAAGATATTAAACATATTTTATTATTTGCAGTCAATCAGATATGTTGAAGCGCGTTGTAAATCCTACAACGCACATTAGCAAACTTTTCTAACGAGACGATCTACATCCCTGATCCGATCCTGATATTAAACGAGGAACAGATGAGGGGAAACAGTAACACCAGTTACACGCAGGTCCATAACATGTCACTTTAGACTGGTTAAAACTACAGGGGCGTTGCTCGAATCAGGCAGCGCTTTATCTTTTCAGGGCTTTTACTTTTACGAATGTATTAAATACACTGATATACCATACACCCCCATCGCCTGCCACATGTCAATATATAAATAAACATATATAAATAAATAATTGCTCACCTATTCGTCAGTTGAACATGCTCATGAGGGCGTGCGAGGTTCGCACCACTGCCACCGGGAAGTAAGACGTAGGAAAACTCACCTTTGGGCTTTTGGGCAAGGGAGGTAAGTAGTGTAACGAAACTCTTGGCCTGGGGTGCTTTTCGCAACATGCATACAAGAATACGTTGATAAGAGGCATCAGCACGGTGGCAACAAATTATCATGCCGTTGTTAAATGGCACACAAATTAAACTTACAATGATATATTTTCCCCAATTTTTTAATCAACGTATCCATGTTTTAAAACAGTATGAACACAGTATTGGTTTCAAGTCATTCCCCGTTTTACGTCTTACACCATGTTTTTGACTACTATGCGAATAGCTCCCCTGCGTACTAAATTTGATAAACACGCTAGCTGTTGCGATAAGCGGGCACGTCGGCACTGTCTCCCTCTCGTTGTTGCGGCTCACTTTCTACAAATGTCATGCATTGCAGAGTTTAAAACTAACACTGAACAATTAATACAATATCATGTAACAGCGTCATGGCATAATTTGCTTACAAATATTTCATGCAGATTTCCTTTGTATCTGGTAGATTTATAACTTCCGAATAGCAATAAATATCCTTTTGCGGTGTAACCCTTATCGTTATCAAATTATACCGATGTTTTTGTTTGCTTTTCTGTAAGGCCAGGTTCACACAGTGCCGATTGTGGCTCCCGTTTGAGATCAGGCTGAATCGGGACGCTTCGAATTCCTGAACAATATCTGATTTTTTGTGAATTTCCCGCCACGAATCACAGGATGTTGATCAGACTTTGACAAATTTTAATCGGGAATAAACCTATCAAGGACGGCAGTAAAAATCCTGAATGTGTGACTGAGCCCTAAGGGAACGGCATCAGACCCTGAAGATGTGAAATCAACATTTGCAGTGGCTACCTGATTCAACCAATATCATGGAACGAAAGTCATAAAGTTGAGTCATATCTATCTACCTCTTCATGTTATGATTGTGAGATGAGGCAAAATCGCTCAACATTCAATAGGGTTGTGTTTCACAGAAACATATTCCTGGTTAAATTTCAAAGGATTATCTCAACAAATCTATGTTTGTACGTTCATTTTTGCGTAAGGGAGTTGACATGCGTTTTCTCTCAAACTATTTTCCCCTTTTTACTGTTATATCTACACATGCTTTCTGATCATTTCACAACAAAACTTCATTAGTGCCTACAGAAATGAATGGATTAAAAAAAACTAGTGTAAGTGGCAAAACTTCCAGGTAGCTTAATTGTGCATACTTATTCAGCCATGTATACGCTTAAACAGAGGAACGTGCCTGGACTACTGGAGTGACCGAAGAGTCGTTGTCGTGAGAAAATGAGTGAGTGGGTAACTTTCATGACAGAGACAATGTACATGCAGATGTTTGATTTCTTATCACGTCATATCAGATGGGAAACGGGGGTATGTTCAATAAGAAGTGAGTGTAAATATTATCGGAGGACCAGGCTGTTGGACAAATAATCTTGCTATCATTCCAGATGACGACAGGACCGATGAGCATGGGGGAAACTATAAATGGTTCAGAAGACATCTGCAGGAATCGAAAACAAAACGTACTCAGTCGGAAGAGCTCGTAAAACCTCAACAAAATACGACAAACGTTTCAAAAATATATATACAAGTTTTATTTTTACAGTGAGTTAGTTGGGATTAATGCCACTTTTAACATTATTCCAGTTATATGAAGGCGTGTCAGCGTAATGTGGGAGGAAAGCCCGAAGTGATGCATGTCTCAGACGTTTACCACTTCGATGAAACATACGATGGTATGGTGCTGACAAACCTAGAAACATAATCGGGGCAAGCCAGGATTCGAACCCACAATCATAGGTTTCTGGCGTGCCCAAGGGACGCAACTCTGCATAGCGAATCGCGTCGCTTTTGACGACTGGGCCAGTCTTTATTTTTACAGGTACATGTAGATATTTTTAGTACACATGAACAACTATGTGCGAGGTCAGCCTCGAAGCACCAAGCCCAAACCTACGGGTGATACCTCTATGGAGCACCTAGCCCAACCCATTGGTGGTGTTGGTGCCCCGGAGCACCTGGCCCAACCCTAGCTAGGCTAAGGGTGATATTACTTTGGTGTTGGTGCCCCGGAACACCTGGCCCAACCCCAGCTAGGCTAAGGGTGATATTAGTTTGGTGTTGGTGCACCGGAACACCTGGCCCAACCCCAGCTAGGCTAAGGGTGATATTAGTTTGGTGTTGGTGCCCCGGAGCACCTGGCCCAACCCCAGCTAGGCTAAGGGTGATATTAGTTTGGTGTTGGTGCCCCGGAACACCTGGCCTAACCCTAGCAAGGCTAAGGGTAATATTAGTTTGGTGTTGGTGCACCGGAACACCTGGCCTAACCCTAGCAAGGCTAAGGTAATATTAGTTTGGTGTTGGTGCACCGGAGCACCTGGCCCAACCCTAGGTAGGCTAAGGTAATATTAGTTTGGTGTTGGTGCCCCGGAACACCTGGCCTAACCCTAGCTAGGCTAAGGGTGATATTAGTTTGGTGTTGGTGCACCGAAACACCTGGCCTAACCCTAGCTAGGCTAAGGGTGATATTAGTTTGGTGTTAGTGCCACGGAGCACCTGGCCCAACCCCAGCTAGGCTCAGGGTGATATTAGTTTGGTGTTGGTGACCCGGAGCACCTGGCCTAACCCTAGCTAGGCTACGCGTGTCAGACTGACCCAGAGACCTTATAGTTTAACCCTAGATAGGGTAAAGATGGTACCTCTTTCTCTTTGTTTCTGAACTAAGGCTTATATACTCTATATAGTTGAACACTGTAGGATTGCCATGGTCTATTGACCCGGGTCTGGTCCCCTTATATCACGGTAATGAACTTTCTTGAAAGCTACCAACTTTTTGTTTGTTGCTTAGCGCTGCACTCACAAATATTCCAACTACACTCTTCAAAATAAGAAACGCACAGGTATGCTTATAGTTAATTTATTGTACCTAATAAAGTCGATATATTTAATTTAATATCATAGATACAAATAGGACATTTTGGAGCTCGATAGTCACATGTTGCAGTTGTACAAGGGCTTTGAAAACTGTTCATTGTCATGTCACAAAAGGCCACAAGGTTGAGCTAAACTCGTGTGACCGCCCCGGGCAGCAATCAGGGCTCTGCATCTGCTCGGCACTGACTGGATTCTGTCCTGCGGATTTCGGCGCCATTCTGCTTGTAACGCGTTGGTCAGTTGTGGGAGTGTCTGTGCCGTACACGTCGATCGAGTTCATCCCAGAGGTGTTCGATTGGGTTGAGATCTGGAGATCTCGACGGTCAGGGCAAGGCGTTGATGTTGGCATTATGAATGTAGTCTACCGTGACACGAGCTGTGTGCGGTGGAGCGTTGTCCTGTTGAAACAGCTACCTCTGGCTGTCAATGATTGGAAGAAGATGAGGTTGAAGAATTTGATTCATGTAGCGATTTGCTGTCAACTTTCCCTGAACCATAACCAAGTCAGATCTCGTGGTGTTGCGATGACGTAGGTGGAACAGTCGAATGTAGCGATCCTGTGCAGGGGTAGTAACTCTTGGTCGGATGATTCTCGGACGGTCTGCAGTGGAATTGAAGTGTGTGGATCGGTTACAAAGGCGGCAAATGGTGCTGTGGTGGACGTTGAAGTGGCGTGCAACAGAAAACTGTGGCGATGTTCCGATCGGCAGCGCTGAGGCTCGACATTTTCGAACTTGAAAAATGTTGACAATTGAATGAAAAATTATTGGCTTATGCGTGCCTTTTCATAGCCACTACCACTAGTTACGAATGCCATAGCTTGCACGTGCATTTTGCTTTACTGTTTTCATCTATGACATTTCTTTAACAAGTGTGAAAACAATGCCGTTTAAGACATTGCAATTTGACAATTGCTGCGTTTCGACGCATCGTTTATCGAATATCAGGCCACCAACATTTTCCAATAACATATATCCAGTTTATATACCGGATTTTTTATGTAGTCAGGTTCAATGAACTACATTCTACTTGCGTGTTTCTGTATATGACTGTGGTCTATAAATAATCGAGTCTTGGCCAGGCAATCATGAGCATCGATCTACGCAATTGGGGTACGATGACATGTATCAACCAAATCACCGAGCCCGAGCACCCGATCCATTTTAAAACGTTGGCTGTTACCACCAGTATAGTTTGCTGATGGCCCATATTCTCACTCAAAATACCCACGGGAATACGATCTTGTACCGATCTGTCAGCACTGTGTACGTCACTGGGCTTTCTTCCCACGTTGTCACATGCAATAACTGAATATTAACCGAATATGAAGTGAATGATATATTGTATGTGATCCTTACCAAGAAATAAGATAAAAATGATCGCGTTAGTTCACAAGTTCGGGGAGAACCATTTGATTTTAGGGGGGCCCGGGTAAGAGTATTTTTTAAACCACAGTTCATAATTTTGTATAAAATAAAACCTCAGTCTTCACCTGCTTGAAATACAATTTATATCTTAATGTCAACTCAATATGGCCATCCTCATAAAAAAAAGAGTATTTCGTGAGCAAAGCCATCAGCTTTGACATAGAGACATGAGAATGAGAGACAATATGCCTGTGACCCTTATGTGTTAATAATCATTTCAAATCTTCCATTTCAAGAGGTCATATCATGCAAGTCACTGTTGTATACTTGGACGGGTTATTAACTCGAATTGCCCCGCTGATATGACTGAAATATTTGTTGACTATGACGTGAAATTTAGAAATGATTAATGATGTTTCTGGCTGTTAAAACAAAAGAAATTGACTGCCAGAATAATTATGTTGTTGCAAGGTGTTTTTCTTTTCAAAAAACAGGTTCATTGTTTTAAAAAGAAATCTGGTTTTGCAGCTGTATCTGAAAAAAAATATGTAAACTTGATACAACATCCCAGGCCCTTTACCCTTGGTTGATGCATGATAACAGTTTACTGTTCACAGATGAGTCGCTTCATCTGGACAGCTCTGACGTATCTCAAGACCTCGTGCAAGGAATTAAAAGCGTCTTGGTGAACGATTTGGCGACGTTTGTGCTATACACGTTACAGCAGGATAATGCCCACCCACTAGTTGCACGTGTTGGAACAGACTTCTTGAGGCAGCATTACATTGATATACTGCCATGGCCGGTTGTTTCTCAAGACATCCCCCCCCCCCCCCCCCCCCCCCCCCCCCCTCCCCCCCTCCAAAAAGGAGCATGTCTGGGATGACTTGGTAGGACGCCTACGTTCGGACCAGAACTAGCGGATAACGCCCGCTCAGTTGGTCCAATCTTTGGTTGAAATTGGGGACATCTCCAAGCCTGTTTTGAACCATCTGGTGTCTTCAAAGCGCCGCCGGTGCCTCGCCTGTATCAGCGCAAATGGTGATCACACTACCCCTCTTTTAGAGTACCACCCCCTATTTCGAGATATGGGTTTTGTCAATGACTGTGTTATGATAAAACATTGATCAGACGTATGACTAAACATAATGTTGACGTCTTGAACGCAACAACGTGAGGTTCGTTCTCCTCGTTGGCAGCAGGCTCATCCATGGGCGGATCTATTGGACACTGTCCAGCGACTGACAGGACGGCCAATGCCAGTCGCCGCTGATGCCGTCACCGGGAGAAACCGATTCTATTCGTGACCAACTCGTGTTATTCCGGGACAAGCCGAATAGCGAGTTACGGAAAGGGGCGAGTGGTGACGAATGAAACCGATTAATGATATTGAGGATACGTAAGTAGCGGTCACCCATGGGGTGGTGACAGGAGCCCTGCCACCCACTCTGCCTGTCTGTCCTCCGCCCAGTCTGCCTCTAACGGGCCATGAGCCTGGTGACTGTCATACGGCTACAGCCAAAAGCCAAAAATCCTTGCGACGTATCATACCAACAGCTTGTTCTCTCTGTCCAGGGGGCACGGGTGGCCCAGTCGTCTGAGGCGACGCGATGCGCTGTGCAGAGTTGCGTCCCTTTGGCACGCCAGAAATCTATGATTGTGGGTTCGAATCCCGGTTCGCCCTGATTGTGTTTCCACCGAAGTGGTTAACGTCTGAGACCTGCATCACTTCGGGCTTTCCTCCCACATTAAGCTGACACGCCGTGATATAACTGGAATACTGTTAAAAGCGGCGTTAAACCCAACTCACTCACTCTCTCTGTCCAGCGTTTGTCACTGCCTAACGGTGAATGAACGGTACCTCATTCCTTTTCTGCCCGTAAGTTTCTTGGTTAGCTTGCTGCATCTGCAGCATCTTTTTCATTTCAAACTCAATTTCTACTGATCTGGGTACAGTAGCATGTTTACTCCGCAAATTGTTTTTGGTGTATTTGGGCGATTGATTCTCAAACCTTTTGTAACAATATTCGGGATTGAAACCGACGCGTCCATATTTCAATGTTATAACGAGTCTCTTGTTCGTCAGTTTACATTAAAAGTTACGTTATTTATGTTCATCATCCCCAATCTTAATAATTGAAAAGTACATTCCTCTCGCAGTTGTGAGTAAAGTTTAACATTGTTTCTATTGGTTGAATTTGACATGTGACATAAATAAAATATGTTATCCCAGAAAATGAAGAAATAAACAAAATGACTCTAGCAAACCAACTAACCCCAACCCCGCCTCCCTGATATCAAATGATACGCCCCTTAAGATATGCCGTGGGCGAACTGGTTGAATGGGGTTGTCTCCCTTCATTCACAAAGTTCAACAACTTGCACCTTGTTTAAGCGCCATGGCAGACCGGGTATTGAACGGAACTGATATATTGTGTTTTAGCTTTGAATGAAACAATTACATCTTAATAGTGTATTTTTTCTAATAAATAAACATTCAATGCAATGCAACAGTACATACTAATGCAGCCCACAAATAGAATGGATTCTTAATTTATTTATTACCGACCTTGCTGACGAGTCATAATACGACTCATAATGTTGATCGATACTATGAGTGAGTGAGTATGGTTTTAGGCCGCTTTTAGCAATATTCCAGCAATATCACAGCGGAGGACACCAGAAATTAGCTTCACACATTGTACCCATGTGGGGAATGGAATCCGGGTCTTCGAACGAGCGAATGCATGCGAATCCGTGGCATTTAATTGGTGAACCAAGCAAATATTTTCCACGCCCACTAATGAGTACTGTTTACTGATCGGCTGAAAATAGGAAGGGCGGAGATTGTTGCATGATTGTGCTGAACGATGTCACTGACTTCGTCATGTTGTCTTTAGTGTTTTGTGTGTTTATGAAAAAAATGCAATCCGTGAAGTTATTGCTGTGGTTTCTTTTAATAAGAATTGACTTCTGTATGTTATAAACGTAAACACCGGCGTGCACACTTTGCGTAAATCATCTACGATTACAAAGTCTATACACTGAAGTACATTAGTCGCGTTCAAGGTTATTTCATTTACATAACGAATTGCATGCAAGTGTGTGTGTGGCTGCTGGTCTTACTCCGGTTTTATGGTGCTAGCCAACGGATATTCAACGCTGCAATTTAACATAGGTACGCTATTTAGACACAGTATACGGACTCCGAGCCGACCAGTTTTGTTTTATCCCATTAATGTCGAGCGCCTGGCAGGGTAACAACAAACACCATGTTTTAACATCGTCTGGCATGACTCACCCAGAATTCCGTGTCTCAGTAATCTGCGCACAAGATCAGCATCAGCTCTGTGCTATGGCAGTTGCTGTATGGTTTGTCGTCCGTGGCGGTAGAGGGCGGTAGTCACATTGGAGACCCGTGAAGATCCGGGTTAGAATTTTGTCTTTAGCAACCCATATTTGCCATAAAAAGGCGACAATGCTTGTCGTAAAAGGCGACTAACGGGATCGGGTGGTCAGGCTCGCTGACTTTGTTGACGCATGTGATCGTATCCCAATTGCGTGGATCGATGCTCATAATGTCAATCATTGGATTGTCTGGTCTAGACTCGATTATTTACATACCGCCGTCATATAACTGGAATATTGCTGAGTGTGGCGTTAAACAACAAACAAACAAACAAATATAAGCCCCCTCCGGCAGAACCCTTAATCCCCATCGCTATCTATAAATGTCAATTTACATCTCCTGACGTCGCCGGATCTAAGAATGTTCATGACGCGGGTCACTGACGTTGCACCACTTTACGTAACACCTCTATCTACAAAACCATGGACATGGTCAATCAGAGAGAGGGCCCAGGTCAGCGATGGAAGCGGACGGATTGAACGTCTAGTCTCTCCAACGATTATGTCGAGGACGTAGAATCGCGGTCCGACTTCCTGCTGTGTTTTAGTGACAGAACGGGTCTCCGCTCCTGCTGTGTTTTAGTGACAGAACGGGTCTCCGCTTCTGATGTGTTTTAGTGACAGAACGGGTCTCCGCTCCTGCTGTGTTTTAGTGACAGAACGGGTCTCCCCTCCTGCTGTGCTTAGTGACAGAACGAGTCTCCGCTCCTGCTGTGTTTTAGTGACAGAACGGGTCTCCGCTCCTGCTGTGTTTTAGTGACAGAACGGGTCTCCGCTCCTGCTGTGTTTTAGTGACAGAACGGGTCTCCGCTCCTGCTGTGTTTTAGTGACAGAACGGGTCTCCGCTCTTGCTGTGTTTTAGTGACAGAACGGGTCTCCGCTCCTGCTGTGTTTTAGTGACAGAACGGGTCTCCGCTCCTGCTGTGTTTTAGTGACAGAACGGGTCTCCGCTCTTGCTGTGTTTTAGTGACAGAACGGGTCTCAGCACCTGCTGTGTTTTAGTGACAGAACGGGTCTCCGCTCCTGCTGTGTTTTAGTGACAGAACGGGTCTCCGCTCCTGCTGTGTTTTAGTGACAGAACGGGTCTCCGCTCCTGCTGTGTTTTAGTGACAGAACGAGTCTCCGCGCCTGCTGTGTTTTAGTGACAGAACGGGTCTCCGCTCCTGCTGTGTTTTAGTGACAGAACGGGTCTCCGCTCCTGCTGTGTTTTAGTGACAGAACGGGTCTCCGCTCCTGCTGTGTTTTAGTGACAGAACGTGTCTCCGCACCTGCTGTGTTTTAGTGACAGAACGGGTCTCCACACCTGCTGTGTTTTAGTGACAGAACGGGTCTCTGCTCCTGCTGTGTTTTAGTGACAGAACGTGTCTCCGCACCTGCTGTGTTTTAGTGACAGAACGGGTCTCCACACCTGCTGTGTTTTAGTGACAGAACGGGTCTCCGCTCCTGCTGTGTTTTAGTGACAGAACGGGTCTCTGCTCCTGCTGTGTTTTGGTGACAGAACGGGCCTCCGCACCGTGGACATATTGGCCACTCGGTCCCGGTGTGCGTTCTGTCACGTGATTGCCATTACTTGTATCTTTTCGACCGATATTCCACATCAACTCTAAATATGGCGGATGTCGTCCAAATCTCACCCATGAGTTTTGTTTTCGTTTTCCGTCATCCCCCTGAGCTACCATCCGAGTGCAAAACGTACACTCTTGGACAATAACTACGAGAGCAATGAAAACCATGCACGAGTGTTGATAATCTTTAATCTTGACCATCTTTAACTCTACTGATTCAGGGTAACAACAATCTCATTAAAATCAGATCTGAGTTCTTGCTACCGCTAAGATGTGTTTACCGGTAGCCAGAACTGAGATCTGATTTTGATGACATTGAGTAATAGTATCTTATAATCCAAGTATGGTTCCCAGTTTTTTAATTCTATATTAAGATACAGTTACGACAGTCGTATGCAAAGATTGCTCTAGGGAACGACAGCTGCTAAATCGCATCAACCACTGGTTTTTGTCTCCATTATTTTAGGATAATGCTTTTGCAGAAGTAGATGCTGCACCATTGCAAGAAAACAAAACAAAACACAAAGACTTGAGTTGGATGTAAGGCCACAGGTTTATATACAGAAAAGTACAAGGACTGGAGAACACTCCGGGCTGGGAAACGCTAAACACGGCTGACTGTCAACCCGAAGGTGCCCGGACAGAACAGCAAACGCGGCTCCGAGGGTAATCCATACAGAGCCAAATGATGGGACCCCCCAGGGAAAAGCGCATAGGGGGTCTGCTGTAGGCTCTACAACCACCATTATACAATAGAGCCTAGAGGGTACGCCTCAAAGACCCCAAAAACACCAAAATCACAACTCCCAGCCCAAAAGTGTTCCGCTACGCATACAAACCAATTGTCGTGCGATGTAATGTGTAGAATGTGCCAGTCCAGGATCATCCCACCTGTTGTGCATATACAAACCTGTGACTTGTTCGACACGTTTGTACCAGGACAGCTCTTGCCTCGCATATATTAACTTGTCAACAACTACAATATAAAGGAAAACAAGCAGCAGAACATGTTCCTGATACATGAAGCATACAAATACATGAAATAAGATTAACTATCAACTGAGGAATTGTTATACAGATATATGTTTGAAATGAGAAATAATGGGTGGGATGGGAGGGAAAAAGCGTGTTACCGGTGTGGTTGTGTGAATGAAAAGAGGATGTAGCAACTAAATTCAGCTGAAACATGGATTACTTCCCTTTGTTTAGTGCATGTGAAGAGCAAAGACTGAATAATACACTAATAATGTGCCTTGCACTATTAAACCAGGAAGAGTAGCTTCCCTTTGACCCTGGACCACAAAAACAGGGGGAGAAGGCCCCTTGAATTGGAATAATGTAAGATTACCAAAATAATGCATTTTATTAGTTAGTAATAAACTTAATTATTTTAGGATAATGCTTTTGCAGAAGTAGATGCTGCACCATTGCAAGAAAACAAAACAAAACACAAAGACTTGAGTTGGATGTAAGGCCACAGGTTTATATACAGAAAAGTACAAGGACTGGAGAACACTCCGGGCTGGGAAACGCTAAACACGGCTGACTGTCAACCCGAAGGTGCCCGGACAGAACAGCAAACGCGGCTCCGAGGGTAATCCATACAGAGCCAAATGATGGGACCCCCCAGGGAAAAGCGCATAGGGGGTCTGCTGTAGGCTCTACAACCACCATTATACAATAGAGCCTAGAGGGTACGCCTCAAAGACCCCAAAAACACCAAAATCACAACTCCCAGCCCAAAAGTGTTCCGCCACGAGATGTGTCTATACACAACTCCTCCAATACTTGTACTGTGATTACTGTTATGGTGCAAGAGATTAATTAGCCAAAAATACCTTACTTTGTACTTCAGTATCTGCCATGAAGTGCTGAAAAGCCTCTTGTAAAGTGTTTACAAACAATGCATTTCCGACTTCAGAAAGATGTACGCCATCATGGCGGAAAAGTCCTGTTTCAGACATGGTAAGCTTGTGATAAATACAGCGCCCCCCCCAATGCAACACTGCTTTGACCCCAGCTCGGTTCAGTCGACGTCGAGCCCTTTCTATCGCCTTTGGGTTGACAGCTCCATGCCAGTATAACCTTGGTAGCACTTCTGACCAAACAAGAACTGTACTTGGAAGCAGTTGAGCCAGGTAGTAGATGTCATCAGTAACATGGCAAACGAGGGAACCAATATTCTGGTCAACAAGGTCATTTGATCCCAAATGCAAGAGTATAAGACTTGGGGGGGGTAGACGGCCTAATTGTGTCTGGACGACTTGCACAAGTTCTGACCACTTCATCCCCCGCTTTCCAAACCAGTAAAAACGTAACCCTAGGTAAGCCAGTCCCAGGTTGTTTCCCAGTTTCAACCTCAACGACTGACGATGGGCCCAATAAATGAATGATGAGCCTATTATCCATACATCTGGAATAATAATAATTATTTATAAATAGCAAATTACCTGAAGTCATTGATTGTGAATTCAAAGTTTAGAGTCTAATGTAAGTTGAGTACGCCTTAGACTTCCATCGACCCCACATCTGTATTGTCTCCGATGACACGCCCATGTCTGCGGCAGTAGTGGCTGCTCCAATGCGGAACGAGTGTGATTTGAACTTACATGGGTCGAGTCCCATATATCTGATGCATTTGGAAACCATAGCTGCAAACTGGTATCTTGTTAAAGGTTGACAGTTCCTATGGCAAAACAGAAAAACTGAACCCACTGGACGAAGTGCAAGGTATTGCTTCATTGCTTTTAGTGGGCACATTTCACTTGCATTACCTTGGATGTGGAGTGTGCAACCCCTTGCTAACTGATCTGTCTTCGACGATCTCACGGTTACTTCTAAAAATGTCCTCTGGACTGTGACATCTGAAATCCTAAGAGGCCGTTCCAAATGAAGATGGTCAGTGTAAACCAACTCGCCAACTCTCATGAAACCGAAAAAGGCCAGAAAAAATGCACTTGTAAACAAAATAGCTTCATAGGGAGAAATGCAAAGAGCATTAAGAGCTTGAGGCATCTTAATCAATATGGAATACATGATTGGAGCCCTGCCGTCCCTATGACCCTTGAGTCGTTTGGAGCCTTCCAGCATCTTTCGGATGATAAAATTGCTTGTGGTATCATGCAATCCTGGGAGCTTATGTTGGTAGCTTATTGCTGAAAGGTGCTGACACTGTGTAGAGTGGGCCAAACCTTTCAGGGACAAAAATGCAATATATGTTGTAAGTTGTCCTGATGGAACCGGCCAAAGATAAGGAAAGTTGAACTGTTGTCGAAAGCGTGAAAAGCTGGTCAGTGCTCCCTGGTAAGCCTTCCTCATATTGTGTGAAATAGCCACCACTAGTAATCGGTTTACTTCTCTTCCACAATCTTCCAAACTGTGTCTGGTATAAGAGTAGCCGCCAAATCTGCATCTGGAGCCAGCTGCCTGAATTTCTCTAACTGAAAACGTGAAAGTGCATCAGCAAGAACATTCTTTTTCCCCTCAATGTACTCACCTCTAATTGTGATATTCGACTCCAAACAACACAAGACAAGGTGCCTAACCAAACACATAACTGGATCTGATCTTGAGGTCATCTTGTTAATGATCTCGACTACGGCCTGGTTGTCAGAATGGAATGTGACCTTTTTCCCGAGTAACTCAGGACCCCATATCGCAACTGCAACTACAATGGGAAAATACTCAAGGAAGGTAATATTCGTCATCAAACCCTGCTGTACCCAATGATTCGGCCAAGGTCCACAGGTCCATCGTCCGGCAAAATAAATACCAAAACCTTTGCCTTGTCCACCAGCACTGTCAGTATAAAAATCCAGATCAGCATTTGAAGCCCAAAACCTTGATCTCATTATGGAAACTCCATTGAACTCCTTCAAAAATCTCTGCCAAACTCTTAGGTCACTCTTCATGTCCTTTGTCAATCTTATGTGGTGGTGAGGCTTCCTACCACATGTTGCATTAATCATTCGTCGGAGGAAACATCTGCCTGATGGAACTGCGTTGCACAGGAAATTAAGTAAACCAAGTAAAGACTGCATTTCCTTTAATCTAACCTTTGAACGTGCCAAAAATTGGTCTATAGCATCTAACGAATAAGAGAGCTTCTCCTCCGGCACACGCACACACATGTTGACTGAATCTAGTTCCAAGCCTAAAAATGTTAGCTTTGTTGTTGGCCCCACTGTCTTCTCTGTAGCTATTGGTACACCAAGATCAGCACATACCGAAATGAATGAATCCAGAACGACTTGGCAGTGGTTTGTAGCTTTTTCACCCCCAAAAAGGAAGTCGTCAAGGTAATGCATGCTTTTTCCATTGCTGAATCTTCGTGCTGAAGCCCATTCAATAAAGGTTGAAAATCTTTCAAACAAAGAGCAACTTGCTGAACAACCCATTGGTAAACATTTGTCAAAGTAAAATTTGTTTTCCAAAGTAAAACCTAATAACCTAAAGTCTCCTGGCCAGATAGGCATTAAGCGAAAAGCACTCTTTACATCGGCTTTAGCCAGTAAAGCTCCCTGCCCTAGCTGCTGAACCATTTGAACTGCCTGGTCAAATGTAGTGTACTGAACTGAAGACAAACTTTCATCAATAAAATCATTTACGCTCTGACCTTCTGGAAAAGATAGGTGGTGTATTAACCTATAATCTCCTTGAGTGCTCTTAGGGACCAATCCGAGCGGTGAAACCTTAAAATTTGGTAGAGGAGGGAAGTCAAATGGGCCTGCTATTCTACCCAAGTCCAACTCTTTTTGGATTTTTAAGTGTGACATAAACTGATTATTTTCCACAGATTTGAGATTTCTTGCCATAGCACCTACCACTGGACCATCACATCCTAGCTTGAAGCCATATTTGAAACCATTAACGAGAAACTGAGCTTGAGCCTGATCCGGAAAATGCTTTGCCATACGTTCCAGCACTTGTGTCTTGACTGGTGTTCGACCGAGCTTGTATAACTCTGGAAGGAGTGCTGGCTGATGTACATCTGCAGGCTGGATGGGCATCACTTCCACATGCAGAACAGCTGTGTCGGTACTTGCACTTTTGTCTAAAGCACTTGCTCTGATTGAAGTTGTTACATGTGTTGTTTGCCGGTCGTTGTAATTTTCCCTGAAATGTGCTGACGTGTCGTTTTTGAAATCCAGAAAACCCAGAACTGACCTGTTGATGGTAAGGTGTCTGTACAAACAACATCCACAATTCCACATTCAATTTTCCCCATGGTAGAGACTGGTCACGAGCCTGGCGAAGACGATATTGTTCATCATAGGTTCTCCATCCCAAACCAGTATGACGAGACGCTGCTAAACGGACAGTATTCATGTGTTTCAGTAAACCTTGAACCATGTCCATCCTGCGCTGGACATAAATACTCATGTAAGTTGTGAAAGCCGTTGTCCAATCAAAAATGTTCTCAATTCTCTTGCCTTGAGACTTGGGCCTCAACTCCAGCTGTCCATCTGTACTGATGAATACTGCCGAAGTTGTCATATAATCCATCAAATCTCTGTCTGGTTTAAGCAATAGTGCGAAATTGATGTACTCACCATTCCATATTTTGTTTTTAATGTTGACAGGGACATTACAACCCAGGTTATCATCCACACTTTGTGTTGTTGTAGGTGGTGGCATATTTAACATGTCAACATTTTGAAACATGGGAATGCCTTGCGAATTAGGAGGAGCAAATATGGTTACTAACCATGCTAGGAGCATTGTTATGACACTGGGATTGAGGGACATGATTTGGGTTACTAACCATGCTAGGAGCATTGTTATGACACTGGGATTGAGGGACATGATTTGGGTTACTAACCACGCTAGGTGCATTGTTATGACACTGGGATTGAGGGACATGATTTGAAATTCCGGGAGAATACATTTGTGAGTTAACTGATGGGGTATATGTATTGTTCGGATAAAAACCAATTTGCACCGACTCACCTCCTGAAGGAGTAGTGGTAACAGGCGTTATCTCGTCGATAGCCTCTGGGACCACGTCGATAGCCTCTGGGACCACGTGGACCTCTGCTTCGGCCATGCTGCTGTCGCCATTTTCCCCGTCTCTAAGAACAGCACTATCAGACGTCGCATTGTGTGGAGCAACTTTCTGCGACCCTCGACGCCTCTGAGCAGACCCCCTTGCTTGCGACAACTGCCTGCTTGTTGTACTACCCTTCCGCTTGCTTCTCCGGCGACCCGACATCTCTCTTCCCAGCAAAATTGACAAAACTTTCGTGTGGAAATAAAAAGCGTGTTACCGGTGTGGTTGTGTGAATGAAAAGAGGATGTAGCAACTAAATTCAGCTGAAACATGGATTACTTCCCTTTGTTTAGTGCATGTGAAGAGCAAAGACTGAATAATACACTAATAATGTGCCTTGCACTATTAAACCAGGAAGAGTAGCTTCCCTTTGACCCTGGACCACAAAAACAGGGGGAGAAGGCCCCTTGAATTGGAATAATGTAAGATTACCAAAATAATGCATTTTATTAGTTAGTAATAAACTTAATTATTTACAGGCACCAATGAAGCGGGACTACTGCCGAGTGCTGTGTTAATTCGGGACTATGCTCCGTCTTCTGTTGTCATTTCCAGTCTAGATCTAGACGTCATTAGACATCAGTGTCTGCATCATCAGAAAAATCATTAACTGCTACATTGACACACACAATACATCCTGAACTAGCAGACAACGTGGTGTTTGAAGGTCTTGAATCACATTTGCCGGACCCGATCCAACAACCCCCTTTTAACAACAAAAATAAACTTCAAGTTTACCAAACGGTTCATTTGAAAAACTATTTGGTCCAAAGTAATAGGTATCAGTGAGTTGAGCTGCTTCTTACTATTCCGCATGGGGAAAAAGGTCCGGCGGACTCATGAGCTCGCCCCCAGGACGTTCAGTAGGACCACGTGAGGTGGGAGTGAGGTGAAATGGGGTTTAACGGCGTCCAAGGTTATTGCACTTATATAGCGACGTGCATGCACTGGTGTGTAGCTGCTTGTACTAGTCCGGACTGATGCCGATTTATAGTGCTGGCCCACTGAGATACCATGCCGCAGTTTAACATGATTACCCCACTCAGACACAGTATACTGACTCCGAGCCGACCAGTCCTTGTTTTAGCCCCTTATGCCAGACAGGGTAACAAAAAGTGCCATCTTTTAACGTCTTTTGGTATGACGCGGCCGGGGATCGAACCCGAGAGCCGAAGAGGCCGCTCTACCACAAGAGAATGGAGGCGGTAGTAAGACCACATGCATCCGTATACCTAACGATTCTGTTAAGAATGTCTAGACTATGATTCTGTGAGGAACGTCGAAACAGTGATTCTTTAATCTGGGCTTTGTTTATCCAGGATACTACACCGTCCGGATAAACGGGTCTCACTGATTATTCATCTACAAGCAGTGGCAAAGAAAACACTGCATCTGAAGGAAAGGTTTAAGAGTCGAAGCAGCATTTCACAAAGGATCTCCCATATTCTACCGACATAAATAAGGGAACTAGTGATTTCAATGTACTTATCTTTGAGGTGCACAGTTACAATACCGTGGCGCTGCATCTGAACGCAACATCTAATCACGTGTAGTGTGGCGCGTGGCGCGTGGCGCGCAGCATTCGTGAACGGCACGTGATGCACGTGCACAGACAAGCTGAAGGTTAGCACTTATAGGGGAACTCACAATCACTGATGCATTTGGGCTAAACACACGCTTAAAATGCATCCGAGACAGTATGTCAATGAACAGGGAAAATGGTAAATTGTGGGTTAGAAAGAGAGTAGAAATATAGAATACTAAACGAGCTCCCGTGTAATACCAATTTAATGAAATGAGTGAATAGTTGTGGTATCTGATGAGCGAAAACGAGTCAGATATCACAACTGTTCACGAGTTTCATAAAATTGGTTTTACACGGGAGCGTGTTTACTATTCTATTTATTACTTGCCATTTATAACGTTTTTAGAATTATACTGTTGAGCATGAATAGGATGACACCTAGACGATTCACGGCATAGTCCAATTGAGTTTAACATAATAATACTTCAAACGCGTCAAAAGTTGAAACGTATGAATTTAATATCATACAACGGTCCACCTTTAGAATTCAGGCGTCCGTTCCACAAAATTATCGTAGCGTTAATGTTATCGCAACTCACACACTTTAACTTAGAATAACGACTGTCGTTGCGCTACAAAATAGTCCGGTAATTAAAGGTTTATTTTTCATGAAGGTTCAACAAAATTGACGGAAAAGTTTTTTTAAGACATTTCACTGCCTTGATAGGTCTACTTTAAAACAAAAAATAGTTTACCAAAATTTGACTTGGGGAAACACCCAAAATAGGTCAAATCCAAGATGGCCGCCATCAATACAAACGAAAATCGAAAAAGTAAAAAAAATAAGAATCAATCAAAATCTAAACATGGATGATGACTCTATCTATAACCAACTTCATAGGATCAAGACAGTGGAATATATATTTAACAATTTTGAAGTGAAATCTTACACAGAAATAAATTACAGCTGCCCGAAATGTGAAAAAAATGCAATTGTTCCATATCGGACTACAAAATACTTAACACGGGCTTATAAAGAGGGAATAACACTGCAATACTACAGTTTACAAGTCAAACTTACTATCAATTTAAATGTCTAAAGTTCAAGACAGTCTTTATATTCACACTCATATACTGGACATGTAGAGACGATTATTCAGTAATTTCAGAGGGGCGGTCGGGTAGCCTAGTGGTTAAAGCGTTCGCTCGTCACGCCGAAGACCCGGGTTCGATTCCCGACATGTGTACAATGTGTCAAGCCCATTTCTGGTGTCCCCTGCCGTGATATTGCCTGAATATTGCTAAAAGCGGCGTAAAACCAAACTCACTCACTCACTCACTCAGTGATGTCAGAAAAGTCATGACTTGGTCCATTTGAACATGTCATCCCTTTGCATTTTCCACATGCTGAGGTAATTTGTAGACCAAAAATTTCTGCATGAGCATGTGTTTTCATCCACACTTTCCAGTGCAATTGTATCTGATTATTTTCAGAAATTTAGGAGTGACAGCTTGGTGCCTTGTGATTGGTTTCAATGTAGTGCCCTTGTTGCTCTTGTGAAACGTCCAGCCCCATTCTGTCGCATCCATATTGTTGCCTAGCCAGGTCTGCACTTGGAGTCAGACTCGTTGGCTGGGCAATCTGGCAGCATCTGATGTCGGTGGAAGGTGTCGAAGGGGTAGGTAATTTGAGCTTGATACATACCTTCTCAGTGAATTTTGTCACACGTTCAGAATTCAAATCCAAGCCAGGCATACAGCCGTAGAGGATTGCAAGTGCCTGATTACCAGCCTGCTCGATTTCTGCATGGTTTACACCTGTCACCATGAAAACCGTTGAATATTCCTGAGACCATCCCTATGCCATATGGCCTCGATGTTGTGTCGGTCCCTGACAATGCATGTACAAAAAGCAAAGAATGGCTGAGATTAGGATCAAGGATCATCTGTAGGATGAAGATGTCAATGATCTTTGTAACTTATCTGAAGAAAGATGGCCTCATGGTATCGGGTCTGAAGTGATATTGCAACAGGATGAGAATGTCGGTGTCATTCCCTACCACTACCACAGGCTGTGTTTGAGCCAATGTACAGGCAGACATTGAAATGTCATAGTCAGCATATCCAGATGAGTGTTTAATCTGAAAACCCACTTTTTTTTTATTTTTGACTGCATCAGAGTGATGAATTTCTGTTTGTTTCTTTCATTTGCCAAAAGGGCTTTTTCTTCATTTTCAGAATCATGTCTGGTGTGAAATCCATATCCACTCCAATCTCACTTCCAGTTCTTCTCTGATGGGTCTCATCCTTGGTCGAAAAACACAACAATAACCATCAAACACGATAAGAGCATTGCAGAAGTGGTTCCTCAAGAAATGAGCCCGCACAGCTTGTGACACTGATTTGCCGGACAACATCTGATCTGTACTACCCTCTGAATATACTTGAGTGATGAACTCATTTAACCCAAATCCAGCCATCAGATTCCCAACGGTACCCACAAAACTCATCTCAGTATGGAATCCCCCCAAGACCAGGGCTATTTGATGCAAGGGGCTCTCAGCTGGCCGTGATTCGATGATCATGTATGCAATTCACCAAAGTTGCTGGTCGATTGTAATAACCGGTGTGATTCCATGTCGTCTGGCATGTTTGGAAATATACTCCAGCGTTGATCTGACACAGGATTCGTCACTTGGTGTCATGTTGATAATCGACAAGAATATCTCAGAGCACTTCCTGGGGTATGGAATGTCAGAATTGAGCAACTGCATGCAACCGGAACACGGTGGTCGACACACACAGAAGTGGCGCACTCCACAAAATATTTAGTTTGCTATTCTTTTCATCAAGTCACCAATTGGTGGATAGATAATGTTCGCCAGCACTGCCTTTGGATTTCTTTGTGAGAATAGTTTGACACTGTTGATTTTTTTAACATCATCCAAGTCCACCTTAACTCTTGGTACCCTCCGTTTCACCATCTCGCCCATGGCATGGATTGAGCCAGTCCCATCAAACCTTTTGCTGGCATGATCTATATAACCAGCCTGGTATTGCACGAATGTATCTGCAATGTCTCTGATTAGGTGAACACCATGAGTTCTAAATTTACGGGAGCTGAAACCGAGTTGGCTTATCATATCCACTAAATTACGATGACCATATTTGTGTTACTTTGTCAAACTTGTCGAGGAGGCAGAAATGATTGGGACATGTCGAATGCATTATTGCCTGACCCAATGACGCAGTATGGAGTTTACTGTTTCAGCTCTTGATGATAGCTTGAAGGAGGATGCGTAATGCATGTGGGAGGTAATCAAGATTTGTGTCAATCAATGCCATCTGCTCATTGTCGAGATACACATCAACATGTTTTGACATGCTCTCTACCTGCGTATGAATGTATCCTCTCCCAACTTTAATCAAACTGTCCATGTCGGATTTGTCCACCTTTGCAACATTTTCATATGCCTTAGGGGATGCAATGTTAGGTTGTTGCCTGATTGTAGTTATGAATACCTTGTTCCCATAGTGATTCATGAATTCCCTTTTCGGCTGAGATGTAGTGTATAGTAGATCATCACTCAGTGCACTCATTGACTTCATAATGTGATGCAAATTGTCCAAAGGAATCGTTTCATCATCATTCTCTTCCAAGTATAAATGGCAATCTCAAATGCTGTCATCCAGGACATACACTTCAGTCGACCAAGTGTCCGTTTCTTTGGTAGAGCCTCCTCATGTTCAATATAAGCTGCAAGTATACTTGTTCCTCTCCGAAAATTCTTATCACAAGCATGGTGATGGATAGCTTCTTCAGCTGGTAGATCGTATATGGGCACGATACTTGACTGTACCATCTTGGCCCAATCATCTTGCCTGTTGACACAGTATGTTGCAGACATACGAGGGGTGATCATTAAAGATTTCCCCTAAACCAC